ACTTGTGTAGATAGGTCTGCCATATCTTTACCTGCGGCAGTAACAATGTCATGTCAAAACTGAGTCTGYGATTTGATGTAATATTTTCTGTAAATTCCACTCCATGATTATTTTCTTCAATGGAGTTACTCTCTGATTCACACAAATTAGAAATGAGTTTTTACCRTATTTATTCCAATAAAGGAATTAGCAATCAAGATTAATCAGGTACTTTAGTCTTCCAKGTATCTATATCTTATACTGCTTAGCTTATTTTAAAGTATGACATTTCAAAATGGATTCTAAGGCCATCCAGTATTCAAAAAGTGTTTAAACTTAGAAGAAATATTTGCTAGTTAAGGCTGATGAGATGCTGCATATTTTACCMTAATTTGCCTACGGAATGGAATGAGTCTTCAAAGTGTGATTGGTTTTATATGTTGATGGTGTTGGAGTTAATCAGTCTTACCCGCTTTGGAGAACAGAGAGAAAGAATAGGATTTCAAAGTTAGGTCTCTGAATGTCTTGCTTGCAAAGTCTGAAGTTTAACTGAAATTCCCTATCTCCCAACCAGCTGTATATACACTGTTTCCAAATTCCACCTGAGCTCCTATCAAAATAGCTGGAGATAATGATTCTACTTCATTTAAGAGAACCAAGCCCATACACATGCTGAACACTTGTCACACAAACAAACAAGACAAAGTCAAGGGCATGTTTGAAAAGCATTAACCCACTTTACCTAGGAAATGTTTGCATAAGTGATCGCTCTACGTGCATGTTAATTAAGGCCCTTCTGGTAGACAATACACAAGCCTTCCTGTGAATTCTGAGAGGTGGAGGCCGGTATCCCGATACTGCTAGGTCTGCTCCTTGATTTTAGCCAAAAGTACTATTTATTTATTTATTTATTTATTTATTTATTTATTTATTTATTTATTTCCACATAAAGAGGAAAGTTATTGTTTTGTTTTAAAAGACCTGATACTGTAAAAATTTGAAGTGGTAAGTAGCTTTACTTACATGAATCACCTGCCGACCAGACTCTCTCAAAAGTAGGAGAATAAAATTGGCATTCTGAAGAGAATAATCTCAATCTGAACAACCTCTGATAATGGAAATGCTATGATATTTTTAGACGTATCCACTTGAATAAACATGTGCTTGATGCATGATATTTGAAATTAAGTAATGAAAGTGCATTTTAATATCTGTTCAATGCTATCAGTCAAATTCTAGTTTATTTTTGAAGGCAAACATGGCTAGAAGAGCTGTTCATTACAATGGCTTGGAGGTATTACAGCATCTATGAAACATATAACTTCATAAAGGATCTGTATTATTTAGATAAAGTAAGATTGCTTTGCAAACGAGATGATGCAGAGTGCAAGAACCACTATTTAGGAAAAAAAAAAAAAAATCTCCAGTAGTTTATATCTGCATAAATCTGAAGTAAATTCACTGAAATTTAGAGTAACAAAGGGATCTTAGTTCATTGTCTTTTTCCCAACCTAGCGYCCACAGTTCCCTCTTTTTGATTTACAAGCAGTTCAGTAAATTAAATGATCTCAGTATTCATTAATTTTCTTTATCATAAACTATAAAAATATTCATCATGGTAAACTAACATTTTGTCAGAGGACCCAGGAGTATATGGGCAGTTTTTGCATATCAAATTTCAATTCAAGGTACAGAGAAATGAAACTTTTCATAATAATAAAGCAGCCAAAATAAATTCCAGATTCACTATGGAAACACTGACACTCATGAACTAATAGCAGCACTTGATCATGCCCTTGCCATATATTATTATCTTTTAGACTCTAATTCTGTGCCAAAACTGCCTTCAGCATACTATTTTTGGATTAGTTCTTTGGGAATGGGACTTTTATCTTTCTCCTGGGTTACAAAGCAGAAAATACACTGCTTGCACAGCGTAAGCAATGGCATTTACAACTTTTTTGTGTTGCAGTCAGATAAAGTTATGGACTGAACAGAGTTATATTACTCTAGTAGAATTTTTTTCGTGACAAATAATTGACACCCACATTAGCTATTGCAGCCCACTACTCCTGCTGTCCCAGCAGGCAGGGCCTGGGGAGTAGGGCRATGGAGGTGCCCAGTCCTGGAGATGCTGAGTGTTTCTAGAGGGATCCAGCGCTCTCTCAACTTCAGCCCATTTCGGTGGGAGATATGGATGCTCAACACGTCACATAAACAGGTCTATAAACTCCAACAGATTTTTGTACATCACTTACCTGAATATGAAAGACACTAAAATTAAATGAGGCAAGATAATTAAGACTGTGCACACTCCAGCACAGACTGAAGGCCATATCTTGTCGCACCCTGAAGGCCATGTTTTCTAACACCCTGATTTCAGTCTGAAATCCACATATGGATCAATAGTATACTATTACCCTAAAAAACACAGTTTGCTTCCATTTTATACAGCCATAACAGACAGAGAGGGAAAAAGATGCTAATGAATAGGAGGAGAAAGAGGAGAAAAAGAAAAAAACAGCAAGTCAGAAATGTAAGAGTGAAGGAAACAAAATATATTTTGCCACATATTCTTATATTCCTCTACCTGTATGCACAGCCAATACCCAGCAAGCAGTTTGGTCATGCCAGTGAAACATTTCACAGAGAAATGCCCTCTATGCATCAAGAGAACATGAACTGAATTTTTAATAAAATGTGTGCCTCAAAGCAATTCAGAAGATTGCATTTTGAAATAAAAAAGAACAAGGACAACAATATCTAAGCAAAAGCAGATCTATAAAACTGCTCCCCAAATAGCAAACAGTAAACTTGAAATGCGACCAAAAAAAAAAACGAATTCGTAAAGCATCCTACCACTGCAGTCATATCACAAGATAGTGCTTGCCTCAGGAGCAACAAATTACTTAGATATAAATATTTACCCTACCTAGCTAGATTGAAGAATGTAAACAGATTCCCCGTATAAAATATAACATGTCAATATCTTCACTGCTGAAAATGGAAATGTGAACTCAGGCGGAGCACTGATCCTGAAAGGGGAGCAGAATCAATTACCGTCTCTCCCTGCCAGTCCCTAGCGCGGCTGCCTGCCTTGCACCGAGCTCGCCGCCCCCCTGTCTTCCATACCGGGTTTCAAGGCACTGAATAACTTTTTGTACAGCTATCCACTTTTCATTTGCTCTTTTTCACAGTTCCCCTAGTGCCTTGCCAGACGAAAGCTGCTTGTTTTGGAACTAGGCTGCTTCCAGATTCACATGGTCTTATCTCCTTCYACTTTGTTTCTCAGCCCAGAAGGGTGGTCCTTCTGGCCTCTGAAATGCTGTCTTAAATTTCACCTCTTCTGCACGGYCCACAGGTCTGTGCAACAATAAAATTTGATCCAAAGCTCACTGAAGTCAGTAAGAGCCTTTCCTTTAACTCCAATAGACTACGAATCAGGATCAGATTGCCATCAGTAACTCAGAGGTAAAATGTAGTGTAAGTAAAAACAAAAGGATCTCGACACATTTCCCTGCTGTTAATAACAGATTGCTAAAATATAGTCACAATAATTATACATTAATTGACAAGTTAATTTAGCACATTTTTTTTTCCCAATCTTCCGTAAAGGACTAGGAGCTTAATCTTCCTGTACCTTTATCTGTATAAATTTGTAGCAATTCCAAAGACTTCTGGCAGTCTGAATAAAAAAGCATACAACTTGATCCTATGCCATTTTTACATACTAAAAAGATACCATTCTGTCTGCATTTAGGTAGATAAAATAGGAAAAAAAAATATATTGCGTTCATAAACCAGTTTAATAAAGCATTACCAAAAATAGAGCTAACATGGCTGTTAGATGCAGTAATGGAGTATGTGGAAAGCAGCAAAACAGTGAAAAGTTTAAAGATACTATGTTTCAAGCTCTCACTATTAAGGATGTTCAATGAAGTGCTTGTAAAGATTCTATTTCTAATGCTATATTATTAATCAATGCCCAATTTGGAGAAAAAGATTTCCAGAATTCAAAATGTATGTTATGAATACACTTAATTCTTCTGTCTTCCTAGATATACATCCTATTTATTCACTCTTCTTTTAATCTTCCCTCTTCCCACCTCTATTCCTAGACGTGTATTTCTTATAAAAATAAAATTAATTTTGCCCATTCTTGCTTCTCTTTCTCTATATGCATTTTTTATAAGTGTAAAGTAAATGTCCTTCTGCAGTCTCACATTGCTCTCACCAAATACTACAGAGAACACATTTCCATTAGACAAATTTGAGAATGTAATGCAGCATAATTATCAAAATACACAAATATCGTAAGAGAAGATTCTGTTCCTTCTATGAAAAAATATCATTATCAGACAGCAACTATTACCAATGTGTAGCTAAAATGTTAGACACTTCTTAAAAGGTATGTTGTGATCTGAGGCTGTTTCAGCAACTGTTTGACACTAATGGCAATTCACAGTTGAAAAATGTTTTCTTCATCTTATACTAACCATGGTACTTCAAAGGAAGGGGCAAGGAACAGAAGGAACACTGCCTCGTTTTTATTGCCACATAACTTTGCCAGCGTATTAGCAAACACAGCTAGATGACTTTCACTTAAAGGATGTACTTTTTTCTTTTCTTTTTAAGCACTTATGTGCATGCTGTCACTTTTGCTCTAGTGAAGTACACTCCGCCCTCCCAGCTTCACCTATGGAAGGCAAACTCTGCAGAAATGAAATTACTATTGCAATAGGGCTGCTTATTAGGGCTGTTGTTTAATGGAAAAAACGGAGCCAGGAAATAGTATATCAACATGAAGTGGAGCATTTGCATAGTAGAGAGGTGTTACTTGTATTCTACCATCTAATATTAAGAGTGGGTGAGAAAGAACAAAAAAAAAAAAAAAAAA